CTATTATTCATTCTCTTAATCACAGTAGTGTACACAAAATTGAGATTAAAAGAGAAGTGTTTTAGTTGAATATAGTAGATGTCTCTATCGGCATAGCTTTTATTTTACCAATTTCATTTGAAGTTATCTGATGTTAATAATTGAAAATTAAGTACCTACTTAATTTTCTATTATTAACATCAGTACTGTACCTACACTGTGAGATTTTTAACTCTATTTGATGGAATAGTTCGTGGCATCGTGTCGATTTACATCGTTTTCGGCGGAAAAGAAAAATCTGCATATCTAAGAAGTTCCACAGTTGAGGTGAACCCGCGTTGGAATCAGCGCATCGAACTTTTTTTTTGGCCAAATACTCTGCGGCCTGTGCTCATTGCTACGGGGGGAATAAGGCGTTGTAAGTCCTGATGTCGTAGTTAACGATGATCACAATCAACGTTAAATTAATAATTTTTCGTCTGATCTACGCAAAATGAGCTTACAGTACTTGAAGTCTTGTAGTAGTATGTTGGAGTTTTAATTTAATTTTATTAATTATGAGTTTTCAAGTAGATGGTAGCACGCAGCCGTCTTCTTTATTTATATAAGGATGTGTTTTTAATTCCATTAACCTCGCGACACATTCTTGGTAGGAATCGGTGTTCTATTGCGAGGATTTTGTTGTCTATCAGATATCTTAGTATAGTTGTATAAATACATACAATTTCAAGCGGCATTTTAACACTTCTATTTCTAAAATGGACTTCTACAAACCTAGCAACAAACCGCTGGGAATACGCCAGTAATTAAACTGCTTAGTAAATAACTTTTTAGAGCACTTTCGTGTAAAGGTACCGAAACATGAGGTTGAGTTAATGTAATGAACTAGAAGTTTTGTAATAATGTAATTTATAATGTATTGTCACTTCATATTCATTTTAGCAGAAAATATAAATGAGCTTAAATATTATTATTAAGAGTCACGCACGAGTACGTTTTGAAATTTGTCTGCGGACTTTGATCCTTCGTAACTAATGCTAATTGCTTAAAAATATTAACTGCAATATTTACTATAGTTTTAAAATGTTCCCTTTTTTTTGCTTTTAATTTTGTGTAAGAGTTATGCAGCAGCTATATTATGGTTGTATCACGAATGGTTCGGCTCGGCCGTGAAAAGACCACGCTCTCAAAGAATACCAGATGAAAACAGCAGCTTAATAGTCGTTTAATTCTTCTATACAATACGAGGGGCACACTGAAATGATCGGAAATAAGAAAAATCACATGCACGGTATAGCTAAATTGTATTTTATTGTTTTTCGAAGTATTCTCCGTTCAACTTAATGCGCTTTTCCATTCGTGCAAACCAATCATTAAAACAGTAATTCCAGTCTGAAGTTGATGTTGACGAAATGGTTCATTTGTACGCTTCCACAGCTGCTTCGAGGTCTTCAAACCGTTGACCGCGTAATAAATCTTTCATTCTAGGGAATGTAAAGAAATCCTTTGGGCTCAGGTCAGGACTGTACGGAGGATGGCTCATCAGCTCAACGTTTTCCTGCTTCAAAAATATCATTTGTGTTCCGAGTCGTATGGGAGCTCGCATTATCGTGATGTAAGATGATGCGACGTTTCGGGCTATTTTTTCGGAATTCGGCTATCATTTCTGGCAAACAAACCGTAATATACCACTCAGCGGTAACCGTTCTGCGTTCCTGTAAAGGAATTGTAGCAACATTTTACGAGACAAACGTAGCGACCATTTTATTTAACACGCTGCGGGAGCGAACTTTCGTAGGTTTGACCACGTCTTCGAAGACCCAAACTGCTGACTGAAGTATTCTTTCAGGTTCGTATGAATAAATCTATGATTCGTCACCTGAGAAGATATTATAAACGGCATTTGACTTCCCTCCGTTGAAGCGTTGCAGAGTATTCCGACACCAATCTACACGAGCCGTCTTTTGCTCTTCGAACAAATTGTGGGGAACCCAGCGGTAAAAGTAGCATTCTTAGACACAGCTCATTATGTAATATCGGCTGAATTGCAGTCATTCCGATACTGATAACAGCCCGAATCAGCTCGTGTGTCACATGACGGTCATCTAATATAATAGTTAGCACAGCTGCGATGTTTTCAGGCGTGACCGCTGTTCTTGGTCGACCTGCAGAAGAAACAGTGCTGAGCGACACACGACCGCGTCGGAACTCGGCATACCAGCGGTATATTGTCGTTTGACTCGGTGCTTCAACATCATAAATCGAAACAAGTTCGCTGCGACATTTATCTTGAAATAAGTCGCGACGAAAATTGTGATAAATTATGGCACGGAAATGTTCACGCGTGAGCTCCATTTCTGTTAACGACGTGTCAACTTTAAACCAACATAGTTTTTGGTTTTAAACATTTTTCTTAATTGTTTGAATGTTATTAAGATTCTTAGAGGCCAGTATTCAAATTCTAAAAAAGGTTTTATTGTAACTCAATCCGAAATATTCTATTCCCTATCATTTCAGTGTGCCCCTCCGTATGTGTTAGCGACTATAGAATGTGAAATTATTTTAATCTTTTTAGTTGTTTGAAGTCCGCTTTTACTTTTTTATTAAAAGTTAACTTTATTGCTCACAATAGCTTTATTAAGTGATTGGATGGGTTCTTGTTCTGTCTAGAAATTTATCAGTGTCGTTTCACTATTTCTACCGCCAAGTGGCAATAAATCCATTGTCGAAGTATAAGAGATTCTGCATATTTACAGCCTTTTTATTTTTATTTTATTTTATTGAGGACAACAAACAATTACATAATAATACTTAAACCAAATAATTTATAAATAATATTAGTCATAATGTAACCAGCACCGTTATCTTATACCGTTATATAAAGTAATATTATATTGGTAACAATAAATGCACACTAGATAGAGTATAAGTGAAAAAGAGAAAACAAAGTTGACAATACTCTTGCTGAGTATTGTCAACTTTGTTTTCTCTTTTTCATAGCAATATGAAGATGTCACAATGACACAAAAGGGGAAAAAATAGCTAACAATAACCTATTTAACATGTGAAATATTTTGAAATACTATTGAATGTCTAACAACCAAAGTCTGTGCAGTGTTTCACCTATGGTATCGTCGTACGTCCACGAGCTATAAGCCATTAAAATGAGAAATTTTGCTTGCTTTTCCTTGCTTACTCTGATTTGAAATTGAATATTAGCTTAAATTACACATGGTTTTATGATGATGATGATGATGATGATGATGATGAAATGCTGTGTGATTTAAGCCACGCCTGGTAAATTATTTCTTAAATGTACAAAAAAATATAAAAATGTATAGCTTGAAATCTTAAGCTGGGTATTCAAGATTGATCTTTTAATATAGACAAAGACTTAAAAGGCAAGGCCAAATTGGCCTCTAAAAGCTTAGCGTGTTTTGTAGAGCGGGACAGTATTTCATGCCGGCACACCACTTGCAACTTAACAAGGCGCAAGTTTGGCCTCACATGGAATATTGTTCTCATCTCTGGCCCAGAGCACCCCAGTGCCAGCTCCTTCCATTTGATCGCAGAGCGGTTCGTATCGTGGGTGACTGAATCCTTTCTGATCGGTTTGACTCACTGTTGCATCTCTATGTGTATTCTATCGCATCTACCACGGTGAGTGCTCAGAGGGATTGTTTGGACTAATTTCAGCCGCTCAACTTCACAGAGCTGCATACTCATTTGCCCCCTTTTTATGGTTCCGTACCTCAAAAGGAAAAAACTGAACCCTTTCACCCTCACTTTGTTGTCCGTCTGTCTGCCTGTCTGTCTGTCAAGACCCTTTTTCTCAGGAACGCGTGGAGGTATAAAGCTGAAATTCATATCAAATACTCAAGTCTACTATCCCTTAGAGCTGTGAAAAAATCAAACTTCTAAGCCAACGCAATCAAAAGATACAGCCGTTTATGCCGTAAATTTTTGACATTCGCAAGGGAATCAAAACCTACAGGGTACATCCCGTGAACTCAGAATCTTCAAATTTGGTACGAAGCAACGTTTTATAGCACAGATAAAGGAAAAATTGCGGAAAGCATTAATTTTTAGTTACATCATATAATAAAAATATTTTTAATAATTTTAAACTTATATACCTTCATATTTTTTCGGAACCCTCGGTGCGCGAGTCGGCTCGCACTTTGCCGGTTTTTTTATAAAAAAAGATTAAAAGATTAAATTTTTATTACTCATCCACTGACGAGCATAGCCCTCCCCCAAGGAATTATATATATATATATATATATATATATATATATATATATATATATATATATAACTAAAAATTTTAATACTGACCTCTTGTAAATAATGTCCTTGTCTCAGCTGATACTTCTTCCTGCAAGTAGATCCTTCCAAGACATGGAATTTTCTGGTTATGTTCACCATATTTACAAGTTTATCAAAAAAGTACACCGGCTGAATACTTTCTCCTATTAAGTCTATGCCGTCACTAACTGGTGTGCACAATCTTCGGCTTTTTAATCTCATTGAGTAAACAAAACCTAAAGGACAGCACTTGCTTATACACTTGTTGGGACAGAGCCCTTCTTCTCGATGCTTTATTTTATTAAACGTCATATTTTGACAATTGATCGTTTGAAACAAATTTAAGAAGACGTAGATGAATAAAACCAAGTCTCCGACACTCATATTTTAAACTATTTTTTCCAAAAAAAAATATGTTGAAATTTACAAATAATGGTGTGATTTAACGCAAACTTTTTTTTAGAAATCTTTTAAAAATGAACAGTATTGTAAAATGTGAGGGAATCCTTTTAAAGAAAACAATTGGAAAACGTTCACGTAAGAAACAACAGTTATAGCCCATAGAGTTAAACTGACATATAATGCAAACATTATTGAACTTTATAGTACTTTTAATTATAGTATAATGTTCATTAGCGTAATGAAATTTGAATTTTATTGCCATAAAGATATGAAATGTGTTGGACGCTCAGGGAATTAGAAAAACAATAGCTCATCAATTACAAGTTTTAATACTGTTAAAATTCAACAATTAAAACATACAATATAGAAACTATTTACATAATGAAATAAACATTAACTAACGAAATATAGATAAAGGAAGCGGAAAAATTACAACCTAGGTAAATGCAGTTTTAAGTACACATTATTCTGTAATAAAACAATGAGAAAATATGAATAGATATATTTTGATGCAGACGCTTTAAAATTGATAAAATGTATGTTAAATATAATTAGTATTAATGTAGAAGCGATTTTAGAAAAGAGTTGATAAAAATTTACAAAATTCTGTGCAAACACTACCGGAAAAGTGTTTTCACTAAAATGTACGAACAGCATATTCAAATTGTTATAAAAACCTGATTTATTCATATTTCCTAACACTAAAGAGATCTAGGTAGTTGTCTTTGTCATGTATTATACAAACACACATATGCATGTTAAAGTTTTAAAATCTAAATTTCTACAGCATCTGGAAATACATAATCCAGATACGCTTGATGACCATAACTCTGAATCGGTTTAGGTCTCTCTTTCCTGAAATGTATAGATTGCGCGCAGTCTTTGCTATTTTTGTCAAACTTCGACGCAATCTCTCTTACTTTTCCGGGCCGCGGTCTACAGTCTTCCACTATATCTTCTTTACTATGCTTAAATACTTGCTTTTCACTAACACTTTCCATTTTGTTGTTTTGTAACGTTTCTGTTGGCGTTTGCTTATCTGTATTTTTATCAAGATGATTCAATGTCCTTTTTGGATATGGTTTAGTGAAATCCTTTTCAACAAACACTTCTTTTACTGTTTCTGTGTTTTTTCTTTCTTCTGTTGATTTCATCCTATTTACATTATTTCTACTACTACGAGCATAAGCGTTAGCCATGTATTTGCTTTCAGTGCCTCTTACCATTCCAAATAAGGGATCTTTGGAATATTCTATATCAATATTACTCCTGCAAACGTAATTCTTCTTGTTATTGCTACTTTTACTTCTGTGGCTCCTATCTGATTTTCTGTGTCCAGGTTTGAATGTGGATAGTTTGTTATTATTGTTGTTAATGTCGTTTGCAAAGTAACATGGATCAAAAGCGTGAGTTCTTTGGTGAGTTAAGGGCTTGGAAAGTGATAAATACTTCGGCGGCTCCCCGTGTTTATTTATAGTTATATCGTATTGTATATGCGGATCCAACACCGCGTATACGTTTTCTTTGGCTTCTCTTTCCAACGACGCTAAATTTGCCTAAAAATGAAAAAACCTGATTATTCTACTTAAAAACGTCTTCAGCAATTCGAAGCGAAAACGTGTGGTGCTGATACTTGCAAAAGTTAATTTCCATGTTAATCTCCTAAATTGCCAAGTTTTATGTGTAACGTGCACTCTCAATAATTAAACGTCGTTTCATTCTGAAACATGTGGACATGCGGTGTGACAAGCGAATGTTAAATTTTGTTTCTTTAAAGAAAGAAAATTGCAAGTAAATTTTACTGTAAGAACATTTATTAATAACTCCTGATATGGGAGTTATTAATAAATAAACTTTTAAATAATTTAAATGTTATTTTGATTTATACGTCATTGCGTTTCCAAATAATAGTTGCCAATATTAGACATATAATTTGCTTTATGCATTTTATATTTGTAATAATTTATCTATGAGTTATGAGTAATTAAGTGATAAAGTATCTTGTTTATTTTCAACAGAAATATCCATTGACGGTTCAGTCAATTTAGGGCCCATAAATATAAGATATTTTGCCGGTGTTGAGTGAATGAATAATACTATACACATTTGCGGGTCGCAATTAATCAGCAAAGCCAACAATAAGAATCAAATATTGTGTAGCTAGTATTCGTTGAAAGATTGATTGGCTTGTCCGCATATAATTGGGTCTATATTAATATTGTACGGTACACCGATAGGAATGAATCCTTAGCTTAGGTAGGTTAGATTTTGAATCGACTGAATATGCCGACCCGCATACGGGTATAGCTCGTCAATAGTCTATTTATTACTGGATGACATGATAAATACATTTTATAAGAATCACCGCTTTTTATAACTCTTTTAAAAATTGATATATTAAAAGTTATAACCAACAAAATCCATAATTACTTCAAATCGTTTAATGGGTATCGTAAGAAGTGACAATACGCTCAGCAAGATATCACGACTTTTAACAGATGGCGGTATAACTACGTCGTTGGTATATAACATTTAAATACCCAATTCGACCACAGGGAGTAGCATCAAAGATCTGAGATCTGATACTGCAATTGCCAATCTGCTTACTAAACGTATTATTATTTTGGTAAAATTTTCAACATTAAGAGGAAATGCGGGCCGAGAGACTTTTGAAAATTAGGTATTTAAGGAAACTCGCTCTGCGAGCGCTCAGCGTCCGATAAGGACAACTGCAGATTCGTAAATAATCTAAGTAAATAGGCATAGCTCCAGGTTTGGCTCTCTATTATTTTCTCCTCCAATATTGGACCATATGTCTCCAATATTGGATATTTCATAAAATTAATAAGAAGGATACTGTTTCCATATGTTTTTCTTTTTTCAGTATTAGTTATCATATTTAAACATTAGGCCTCTGTTGACAGCGGTCTAAATAGGAAATTTTGAGCATTTTGTAAGTCCTAGTGCTTATAAAGATAATGTATTATCAAAAAGGAAAACATAGGGACATAGAAGAGGTTGATATTTATTTTACTGTAAAAACTCATTGCTATAAGGTCATAAACCAGAAAGAGAGTAATTGTATGGAGAAAAGACCGCCCGCATTTCCTCTTAATAGAATCACGTAATGGTCTGTTAAAGATTGATAGAGTGGAAGTAGAATCCCCCCAACATAGTCTGGTGTCAAACTCGTATTTCTCTTTTTTCATCAGTTCCTAAACATCCACTGCTAAATAGGCCTCTTCCGTTGTTGGAAGTATTTGATCTAATCTTTGCGCTTGATCTTTGGATTGACTCGCAACATTTTACGCTGCTGCCCATCGACGGTCTGGGCATTTTACCTCTGGCGTATACGAAATGATCATAATGCCATTTTATCGAAAGCCATAATGTATTTTTGGCATTTTCATAGTCTCCCTCTTACGACACCCACGAGACGAAATGGGATGATGGATTCTGTTATTGATGGCAGCAAACGTTCCAAATTTCAATTTAATTTTAACTGCTGACGATTAGTTGTAGAGTTTTGGCACCTTGACATTCGCGCATGACAAGCGGGCAGCAAGGGGAAAAAATTATTGCGCTAACAAAAATGCTAACGAGCAACTGCGTCAAGTCATATAATAATAAATAGACCGCGTGGTTGGGGTTAGTACGTGTCCACACCTGTGCGCTCATCACACGGTGGTGGGTGGCTGCAGCACGACGGCGGCGCGGCGCACCTGCAGCGCGCCCGGGGAGTACCGCGAGCTCTCCATGTCCAGGCCCGGACCCGACTGTGAGTATCCGGTCCCAGCACCACGGTTGCTCATACTCGCGTGGGACTGCTGCGGTGTGTACACAGCGTCCGCTGGTAGGACCTTTACGTCGCTGTTGATAGGAGATTTTTTTTAGTTTTTTGTTCGGAATATGGTGTGATGCGTTGTGACTAGACGGCAGGATTCCTTTTCTGAATATAAACTCGTTTAGGTTAATACCATCTTCTCTATTCCCGCAAAGTAGCAATACACAGCTCTGTTCTACTTTAAAGGGTACAGGGTACGAAGCCAGTATCACTACAGGCTGTCTGGGTTATTAGCACCATCTGGTCTAATTTTGCTAAGCAGCAATGCACTGCTACGTTTCGCTTTAAAAAAATATGGAGCCTGTATAATAATCGCCTCTGGGGCATTACATCTTAAACCTTAGGGATAGCAATGTATACATACCTATATATTGTGGTTTATTGATGGTTGCAGGTGTCCACAAGTTGCAACAGACGTTTACCATCACGTGGCCTGTCAGCTCGTTTGCTTACTCTAATAATGACAAATGCCAAGCCTCACTTTGATTACAATTAAGTTACTAGTAGGTGACTTTGTTTGCGCGGACAGCCTTGTTTCTGTAATATGCGTCATGCAATTAATATGCACTGATAGTGTTATTTTATAATTGTGGTCGACCTTGACGATCTTCGTGTATTATAATAAATAACACATACATCAAATAGTGTATACAAAGAAGAAATGGATTTATTTATAATATTATAATATAATTCTTTATTATTCTATATATATTTATATATTATTCTACTTTATGAATGAAAATATATATAGAATAATATATATATATATATATATATATATATATATATATATATATATATATATATATGATTCTATATATATTATATATAGAATAATATATATATATATATATATATATATATATATATATATATATATGATTCTATATATATTTTCATTCGTAAAGTATTCGTTCATCCATAAAGATTTATTTAATAAAGAAAATATTAAATAACTCGTATAAATTATTATAAAAATAAATTATGTTAGGAAGACTCTATGCCCATCTCCCGATTCGTTTTCCTTTATCGCCTTTTACCTGGACCTGGACTTTGCCTAGGTTTTTTTATAGGATAGGGTGATAAACTAGCATACAGTTCACCTGATGGTAAGTGGCCCATAGACATCTGCATATATCCTCGTTTGCGAATCAAAATGCAGATGCGTTGTCACCCGTGAGGAATAAGATGGAATGCCTCTTTTCCAGTAAAAAGAGTCTCCGGTTCTCTACACTCACCATACGAAACACAACAGTGTTAAGCTGCTATTTTACGCTGGTATTCTATCAGAGCGTGGTCCTTCCCCGGTCGAGCCGATCCATTCGTGCTACAACTATACTACTAATATAGATGCAGCATGGCTCTACCACGTATTAAGTATATTTTGTCACAAATTATTTTAGAATTTATTTAAGATTTTTACCTTACCTTACCTACACCTACGTTAAATTCTCATCACTCTATAGAGTAACTGGTAAAGAATGCCTCTAGGCATTGAGTCAAACATTTGTATATTTTGATATAGAGAATACAATACAAGCCTTAATAAGTGAAACTGAAAGAATAATCCGCGCGGGAATCAAAACCGCAGTCCCAAAGCACTGCACCTAAACGCTTAACGCCGTACTAATGGTCCGCTAAATAACTAACGTCAAAAAGAAAATTCTGGAACACCAGCCACAAAGAATTTGCCTATCTTTACTCATCTATATAAATAAAATGATAGAGGCTTGCAGTTGTGCGCGTATCACGGAAAAACTACTGGATAGATTTAATTAGGTTTTCCAAGTTTTATTTCTTAAGGCGGCTCTTCACGTTGGCCAACATAGTGGCGAATGTGTTGGCCAATACTAATGGCCATCGTGTAGAGCGCGTGTTTTGTCGGTACGTATTGGAATGATGGCTCACAAGTTGGCGCGAGATCCGTGTGGTGTCGGTTTTTTACAAAAGATTAAAGGGTTGTGGCAGAGTATAGGCTGCAGCGTCCACACGTTGGGTTTTGGGAACATTTAGTTTGCTACGAGCTCCCACAGTGATCGCACGAACCTGATTGCACGCATCCTCTACATAATGGCAGTAGCAATGACCAATGAAAAAGCTTTTCGCTTTATAGAGCTCTACCAAGTCGAAAATTGTTTGTGAAACACAAGAAATAAAATTTATTTTTTTCCATTTCTCTTTGAAAACCCTTTTTTTATACATATTCACGCAGTAGTGGTATGCTGTGAATAAATAAACCGCAGCAGCCGTTAACGCCTCAATACTCATTTTATTAATTCGTCCGCACATTGGCCTTAACCGAAGCAAACTGAACGACCTTCCAACGTGTGGACGCCGTCACAAACTCTTGGCTAATATCTTTGCCAACACATTCGCCACCATGTTGGCCAACGTGAAGCGCCGTCTTTAGACACCTACAGGCCATTATCTAAAAAATAATATTGCGATATCTTCATTTAATATAAAGTTATTAAAGTTTTAAGAAACAACAATTTTGTAATTAAAGTATATTTTTGCTTGCGATCTTTTTGATGTTTTTTCCTTCGCACATACGAAAACTTTGTTAGGTAATATACTAAGCAACACAGACGAAGTCGCGTGAATCAGCTAGTAATATAATAAAAAGGTGGTCCCAGCAGTATCAGGCAAAGAACCAGTGACTAAAATTATATGTCGACATTGATAATAATATTTTAGCTTTAATAAAAATAATGAATAAATAAATAAAGGTGACTGTCAAATCAAATTCAAAAAAGAAAAATAAGTGGTTAGTAAACAAATATGTTTATAATGTTTTTACCTGTTTAATTCATCAGTCTTGTATTCGACGCTATCTGAAAAGAAAAAGAAAATATATTTAAATATAATATATACATATATAATATTTTTCAAGTTTTGGATATCAGTTGTTATTATAAAGATTTTAGATACAACGTTACAGAGTCAAATCAAATCAAAGCAACGCATGATCTTGAGCCTCCTGTGTGCCACGTTACTAAAAACCCTGCTTGGGTGATGTTTACGAAGAAGGGTCTCTCACCATACAAGTCAATCCTTAAGCCCTGGAGCCTTAATACGCTGCAGCGTTGCTCTACTACGCATAAAAAGGTAGAGGGCCTCCTTTCATGCCTTGGTGTTCCTCTGAGTAGGTGCCACCAGCTTGTCTATTTCTGTCACCAAATAGCTGCGCCTGCACTACTTTGTTCCAGTCTGTAGAGTGTCAGTATAATCAAAGGCTATGAGGCATACCATCTTAGTCCTAAGAAGTAACAACGCATTTACAGCTTTTTTTTAGTTTAAGTTGTCTGCAGGTGTTCATAGACTTCAGTGGCCACTAACCATCAAATGGACTATAAGTTCTAACTTTCTCTTACTTTTATTTTATATAAAAAGAATATTGTCTGTTTGTTTCTCGATCTAAAATAAAAAATTGCATCTCACCTCTTCTCCTTCGACAGCGTATTAGAAGGCAGAGTAGCAGCACAAGGAGAGCAGCGATCACGAGCGCGCCGGCGATCAACGGCGCCACGTGTGCAGTCTCTGTTAGCGAAAAATTCTCTGCGTGAAGAGATTTCACGACTTTCTATTAGAAATTTTAGTTCATATCCAATTAGTTAAACTAATGTTAAGCGGTGCAATAGTATCCACTGCCCCATATCACGTGGGTATCGTAAGTGGTGATAGAAAGAAATTGAAACAGGGGATGGGCGGCAGTATTTTCTCGATGACAACTCAAAATAAAAAACCTGCCAAGCGTGACAACTGTAGCAAATGTCCGCCTATGGGGCAATCCATGGGAACTTGTGATCAACATTGGATTTTGACGTGCTGTAATTAATGAGGAAAAAAGAAAAAAATTAAATTAATGTTAGTTTTTGTCGAAGCTTTTGTGGATTTTTTTTAGCGCTGTGCACTTATTATCTTAAAAGTAGTCTATTTAAAAATTCAAATTTCCTTTACTACCTGATAATGATATAGTCGTGATGAAATGCTTTCAAACAAAAATAAATTTCATTATATAACATAATTTGAACGAAATTTGAACAAACTAAAATTATTATTGAATGATATTTATTCACGTTGTTAGAGACTAATTGATAATTTCATTATTTATTAAGGTATTGATAGATTTGTGAAAATATGAGTAGATTATAAAAAAAATATAGCCTTAATAACCTACCATGCACGGTGAGAGAGACAGCATGAGAAGAGAATCCCCTCTCGTTCTCAACGTGCAGTACGTACACTCTCGCGTCGGCAGCCGAGGCGCTGCCTATAGACAGTGTATAGCGGTAACAGCCGTCCACGCTCTCTGTCTCTAGTGCTTTATACCGACCTGGGAAAAGTAACCAAACATAATATACATATAGTCATTTCCTTATTTACTAGCCTTGAAAAAGACGAGAAACTGTAAAAATTAAACATAATATAACAAAACGAATGTCTTACCCATATGCGAAGGTACATCTAATCGCAAGCTGCCCCAAAGCCACGAGGCCTTTCTTGGTGGTGGGTCAGCACAGACTGTGGTCTGGACCTTGGCTTCATTGCCGCTCCATCCATGAGCCGAGGCTGTATCGGGACCCACAGGCGGGCCTAGCACATTCAGGGTGATTGGTTCTGACTGGTGGGATCTGGTAAGGTAAAAATTTAAGTCTATATATCTTCGGTTAATTTCATGTCATCTATTTTAAATATCCTGCTTCGAGAGATAAAAATATTAGCACAACGGTAAGTGCAAATGGTAGAACAAGCTCATTTAATAGTTAATACTTTTGGCATTTAAATGTCCAAGACTCAAAAATTTGCTCTTAGACAGTTTTCTCTTTGTTTTATAGACCATCGATATTATGATGATAATAATGTCCTAACGTTACGGTTTTCTAACATTACGGTGACATCTAAACATGGTAGTGCGTATCGTGTTATGACTGCAGCACGAATGAATCGATTCGAACTGGTAATGACCCCAGAACACACAGAGCACCAGCGCGAAATAGCTGACAGCATATTACAATTATGTTTTGTATGGTGTATAACGAAAACTGGAGACCTTTTTACTGTTAAAAAGGCTTTCCAGTTCAGTCCTCACGGATGACAGGAGGTGTAAAAAAAACATTAACTTTTTTATTTCAAACAGATTATGAATAACAGTTATCAAAAGTCACTCTTTTATTTAATTTACCTTTGATTCGGAAAAAAATCCTGTTCTTGGAAGAACCAACAAGAAACCCAGTGGAAGTTAACTTTTTTTTTGAAAAAGGAAACAGCTTACAATCAATCATAATCAATCAATCAGTTAATTAGTCAGATTCTGTATATTTTACCCGACTGCCCCACAAGGTGAGTAATGTTTTTCGAGTGTATGTATAAGTATGCTTGTATATACGTATGTCTATTTATTTTTCAAGATCTGCGGCCTTAGCGACTTAATGGATTTTAACTTAAAGTTGTGGTATATGTATGAATGTCGTTAGATTCATCTAGTTTGTGAAAGTGTATGTCACTTATATAAAATCAGTATAACCACGGAGTCAGGAAGTTGGTGTTTCACCCTCGTGCCGTAAAGCCTATGGGTCTTGGTTTGGGGCATTACACCTGATATCGTGTCAGATTGCTGTCACACTGGACTATGAGAGTAAGGAAATAGAAAGTGCACCCGTGTTTTCATTGCACTCGTGCACTATAATCCAGTCCTGTGGAGGTGGCTAGTCTCCGTTGAGACCAGCCGCTGCGACCAAAATTCGGTCTAGAAGGTGTTATGTTATGTTGTGTTACTTAATAAATTATAGTTATTAAGTGATGAACATTATTAAAAGAAAAAATCTAAATTGAATAATTTAAAATTAGTTTGCGCAGTATCACAAAATATACCTTTCTTCAAGTCCAATGAGATTCTTAGCGATGCAAACATACTGGCCATGCTGATTGTAAGATACGTTGTACAGCTGCAATTGTGGAGTTGACGATATTAAGTAGCCGTCTTCCAATAAATTGTTAATGGTTGCTGACCCAGGACTAAAAGAAGAAGAAATTCATTATTATTATTAATAAAAAATAAAAGTAATGATTTATAGTTTAAGAAAAGGCTAAAAAGAGCTATTATAGCACCAAGGGATTAAAGTCGTAAAACTTTATACTACGCTAGAATTTATCTCCGTCGGTACCTACTCATAAAAGTGTTAATTGCAATTTAAATTGCCAATTTAAAACATGCTCATCCGAGAAGGAACGAACCTTAAGAAAACCTGTGTGTAATTGTAAAACACAGTTTAAAAATAACTATAAATCGAAATGGCCATCATTTTTATACCACATTTCCTGTTTTTAACTATAATTAAAGTTTAAAGCCTCCATTTCATCGTGAAGTTAGCTTAAAATTGATTACAAAACTGCCAAACAAACAGACCGATAAGAAAATCGTTATTCCCTATTATATTGCATTGTTATCTTCTTTTGAGCTATATTTAAAATTTCCATGAAACTTAAGCTCAACACACACGGTTATTTACACTGATCAGTTGAGTTCAGTTTAGCTAATCAGTCAAAATGCATGTAGCCCAAAACTGTTTTCTCACTCAGTTGTTTCAAATTTCAACTTAAGATTTCACACTCACGGTCAGTTTGGGATGTACGTCAGTTCAACTGATCAATTTAACTGACCGAGCACCCGGAAAAGTCCGTGGGTTGCTGTCAGCTAAAAATTTCAACTTAAGATTTCACACTCACTGTCAGTTCTTGGATGTACTTCAGTTCAGCTGATTAGTTTAACTGACCGTGTGTGTCGTGCTTTACATTAGTTCAAAATAAATTGCAAAATTTGTACCAAACAGTGCAATAAATATGCCATTTAAAAAAAAACGTAATATTTTGTGGATATGTGAAGTCTACAAACACGATTTTATATAGCGGCGCCGCAAACTCTTTCTTGCTCTGAAAAATTTTCGTGGAAAAAGGATGCTTGTGCCTAGTAGTGGGCCGTATGTTACTCTTTACTTTACTTATAACATCATATTGCTGAGCAAAATCATCCACTCATGTCAAAAGGGTACTGGAACGAAAAAAGTTAATCGCTCGTCTCTATTGCATGTTAACGAATGGATGGACAGTTGGTGTACTTGATACGTGCAAAGTTTATTTCGATGTTTCTTCTCCGGTCAACCTAACTTAGAAACAAGAGCTTAAAAATTTGTATTTTTGTGTGGCATAAGTGGGTTGGTTATCGCAGCCCTTTGGCAGCTGTAAGATGTATTTGGCAATTTGCATATTATGTTGCGTTCTACCGTAAATCGAAACAATGAGAAATAGCCCTAATAAAAATTTATATTTTAAACGGACTAACAAAATCGGTCACAAAGTTTCAAGACTTCATCATACAATATTATATTTGTTACACATCATTTCTTTTGCATTCTTTTCTCAATACAGAAATTACATTTCATGTTTATATTTCTTGAATTAAGTAGGTATGTGCAAATACAATTACATGGCAAGATTTTCATTTTTGTAATTCGATTAAACCAATATGTACCTACATTACCCAAGAGCTCCTGCCGCATCCAGAACCACTGACGTCACTCACGGGGCGAAACGGGATAACGGATTCTCTTACCACGCCACTACGTGTCTACTATGTACTTAACTTATTACTAAGTCATTGATATTCAAGTAATATGGTACAACATCATCTCTTCTATTCAAATTTGTAAAGATATTAGGTACTTACCTATGATACCACTGATATGTTGGAGCTGGGTTGCCTTCTGCTTTGCACTCAAGAGTGACTTGTGAGAAGAGGTTCGCTTCAACCACTGTGTCGGGACCAACCCAGGTAATACGAGGTGGAACTATACAACAAAAAAAGATATAGTGTAATTTTATGAATTCTTAAATTCACGGGAATACTACAGATTAAATAAAACTATTTTATACGTTTAATTAAACTTTTTTAATTCCCCTGACGTTTCGTCACTCCGTAACCATGGATGTCGAGACTGCCCGTAACGTTGGGAATTACAAAAGTTAAATTAAATGCGACAAAAACTGTGAAAATAGTCTAATTTTGATCTATACAAATAAATAAAATTGTAGTGTCTCTTTGTAATGTTAAAATAACAGCTTTTTACTAAATGCAAATGAACGGTCTACGGTACTAATAATAAAAAAAAATTAAAATTTTTGTAAGTTTGTTCCGGCTAATCTCCAAAACGGCTGGAGCGATTTTGACGTGACTTTCACTGGCAGGTAGCTGATGCTATAGCGAGTAACCTAGGATACTTTTATTCTAGAAAAAGATTTAGCGTTTCACGCAAAAAAAACCCCATGAAATCGTAGAAAATTCCACGCGGGTGAAGTCGCGAGGGACAGCTATTTTTAAATATAAAAAGGAAAACTGAAGAATGCACCTACATTTAACGTCGATTTCAATTTTAACTGAATCGGATGTCCCCAACGAGTTTCTTGCTTGACACCCGTAGATACCTGTGAAAAATGGTTAGACTTTAATACTAAAGAAGGATGAAAGTGCTTTTTCTAAGTCAATCAAAAAGTTTTATTTAGATTATAAATTTATAATAGAGTGTTCGGCGGTAAAAACATCGTGAGGAAACTTGCATTTCTGAGAAATTATATGTTTAAATAATATATTTAAAAAAAATCTAGTTTAAATATCTCGCCCAATGGTCGAAATTCGACCGTACTTCATTGAATATTTAAATTGTTGACGTTATTCTGGTACTTTGGTCAAGAGGTATACTCCCTCTATAATCACTGTATCTAAGTTTTTTTGAAAACACTTGAAAAGTACTGATAGATAAAATGATAGAATAATTCGAGAATTAAATTAATCCAATTGCTGCTATAAAATTATTTTTTCGCAACATGTGTAGGTATGTTAAGCAAGCGTATTTCACTTTCAACTGCAAATTAATATATAAAACACAGATATCTTACATACAACATAATATAAACAAGCTCTCTCGCGTCTAAATTGTGTTCTACGTAAAATACGATATTTTGTCCAAACCTGACTCGGTTTCGGCGTCACTTGAAATGTGTGCAGTGTTCCGTCTATATTTATTTGTTAGTTTTGAGTGTAATACATAAAATGATTTTACTTAAATAATAAGTAAATGTATTAGTCGAAGGTATAACGTACTACAGTAATATCTATTAAAAGTTTCGTATAATTTAAAACAAACTATTCGAAAGAAATATTACTACTAACTACTAGTCATTTTGCCATCTTTTCAGAACACCTGCTACTCACCCGAATTGTTCCTCATAATTGGCGCAAGTATCAGCTTGGGACCGTTAGTGGCAATGACCTGACCGTCCTTCGTCCACCACACATAAGGTTTAGGATTGCCATCTGCTTTGCAATCTAGTGACAAAGCACTCGAACCCTCTTCTAGACTGGAGAGTCCGCTTGCATCTGCTCCAAGTATGGAAACTACTGGAACAACTGTAATGAAAGATAATATAAGAATTTAGATTTAAAAAAACAAACATGGAAGACAACACAAAAGTTTATTACAAAGATGGAAGACTTGTTTAATTTAAACATTATTGTTATTATGATTTTATTCCGATTTGTTCAAAATAAAAAATAAGTGGATTGATTGGGTAACTGAATTCATCACCGATTTTACCTCGTATGGCTCGTATTATCTCGTAGCACGAAAGAAGGCTAATTACCTAATATCGGAAACAGTAAGTGTGTTAAGATGGACCAAACCGCCTGCCAAAGAAAACCTTATATACAAATAATTAGGGAGGCTCAAGCACAACAATGTACTGCAACAGGTTGATGTTTTTATTATGATAAATGAGGAAAGGTCGAGTGGTAGCTTAGGACCGGTATGCAGAGTGTAGGGTGGCCTGTCACTAGACGAAGTAATGACTTGTTAAGATATGCTGGATATCGATGGTGCAGTTAGCTCATGACCGTGCATTTTTCAATGGCATATGTTCAGTACTGGACTATTGGAATACTACTGGAATAGAGGAATATAACGATGACGATGAAAGTATTTTCACTAACTTTCTTCTTTAGCAGCTCATAACCGTCCGTTCCTAGAAATGATCCCTTGTAGGATCCGGCATTCCACAAAGTTTCCTCGTACGACCGCTTGCTTGCTTTTTATTGCTGTGCCAGGCTTGCGTCTTTTTTGTCAGAAATAATCGCGGGCGTGTACCACAAATCACTAAAGTCGCATCGTATTCAAATAACTAATATAGGAACGCGTAGAAGACGAACTATCAAATATTGACCTTTATCAGATAACGCCGTCTACAAACCTATTAATAACCTATATCCTTTCATAATCTTTCAACAACATACTATTTCTCATTTAAATCTGTAAGCTTTCAATTACAATTTTAATACTTTTTTTTTGTACCAGGACCTTGGATAGAAAGTCATTATATTTTGTTTTTTTTTTTTCTCTCTTGATGCCAGCCTGTATTGGGCTACGTATACTTACTTATTTTCTTTTTATTTTTTTATGCCATACAACCAACTTGCACACCTGATGGTTAGTGGCTAATGCAGTCCATGGGAACCTCCAGTCAACTTCAAACAAAGAAAGCAAAAGACATGCGTTGCGTCACCTCTCTGAAGACTAAAATTAAATTCTTAACAGCCTGTATTCATACTGGCTCTCTACTACTAGGCAGAAATCGGTGAGAGGGTAGAGGCCCAGTAGTACTACGCTAGTATTCTAAGGTTTCTAAAGTTTTTTTTTTACTTACAGGTCACATCTAACATTGTGTACGAGTCGCGGAAGTAAGGTGCTGGATAGGAAGGATGGTGCGCTCGACATGCCAGCTGCTTGCCGTGCGCAGATCTAGTCGCGCCCATCTCGAGCACGGACCGCGCCGCCCATACTCGCGGTCTTTCTACTTCCGACGCGTTGGTTTGACTCCATGCAGAGAGCCGGTCCTTTTCTATAATAATAACAAAATTGTTGCAAATATTTCCCAAATGACTTTAGTTTTATAAATATGAGCCTTTACTACATTAATAGTACATATATTAATTAAAAAAAATTGATTGAGTCGGTCCGTACATGTTATTTAGGTTTTACACTCGGACCTCAAAGATCCGGCAGATGGGGCAGCCGAATTGCGTATAACATACGTAAATCGGCTGCTCCATCTGCTTATACGCAATTCGGCTGCCCCATCTGCCGGATCTTTGAGGTCCGAGTGTAAAATTTAATAAAGTTATAGTCCTAATTTTCGTAAGTTTTACATTTTTTTTTTACAGAATAAAGGTGACAAACGAGCACACAGTCTACTATTTCTGATAATAATGAAATGCCGCCGCGCATATACATCTACATCTATTTTCAGTTAAGAAATAAAATGTAAATTTGCGTAGCGTTGTCACCCCTGAGGACTAAGATGGAATGCTTCGTCAGTAAAAAGGGGTCTCCGGTTCTCTACACTCACCATACGAAACACATCAGCTTTGAGATGCTATTTTACGCTGGTATTCTGTGAGAGCGTGGTCCTTCCCCGGTCGAGCCGACCCATTCGTGACTGAACCATAATATTAACCAGCATGGCTCTACCACGTATTAAGCGACGAAGAAACGAAGGCGAAGAAACATAAATTAAGGAATTAAGGACTACAAAAAACTTAACTACATATATTTTACAAGATTTAAGATATTCAAATGTTTCGTTATTTTTACGGATTTGTTACAGGTGTTTTCATCTTTCTGTAGAGAATTACTATGCAAATGAGATTTTGAATAAAACATATTTTAACGTCACTTACTGGGTTTTGATATAGGATAGACAAATATCGTGCTTCAAAAAAAAACTTTTCTTCTTATTGATACCCCGCACAATGATCTTAGAATTTTTTTCTCAACTTTAAATTTTCACCTAGAAACTTTACCCGTAGTATGAAAATTGCAGTATTTTACTGGCCTATTAACTACTTAATTAAACTACAAATTTTATTCTTCTACACGAAACACTCTCCGAGAAAAACCTCTATCTAAGTCATACAAGAAAAATAACCAGCCCTTCATACCGGCCAAGTCTTGACTTGTACTTGGCCGGTTCCGTGCCATCGTAATACACGTTTCTTGTAGGGGAGCCCATTTTAATTTTTAATTTATTTTGATTTTTAATATTTGTTGTTGTAGTGGCAATATAAATACACATTTTGTGATAATTTCAACTGTCTACCTATTACGGATCATGAGATACAGCCCGCAGAGCTTAATAGCGTCCCGTCGAATTTGACACGGAACTCTGAAAATGATTGAACTTCACGACCTGCTGTAAATTTAAATCGTTCTACTCTCATTTGAATATTGTATACTTTGAAATTGAAATAAGAAGGACGAAATTGAATTATGTTAAGTACAAAATGAATAATGTAACTTACCTAAGTACCATTCAATATATGCGGGTGGGTTGCCATATCTAGCTTCACAGACGACGGTCGCTCTGGACCCCGCGGGCACTGTGATGTTCTGACCTGGCAGTACGTGAGACCCGTTGAAGAGGATCCTAGGCGTTTGTGGTGGAACTCGTACAGCTAACGCCGCAGGAGGACTGGAAAGCGCGTCCTGAAATAAGACATTATAAGTGGTAGAGCCATATTGCAGCTGTATTGTAGTTGTAGCACAAATGGGTCAGCTCAGGGAAGGACCAAGCTCTCACAGGATACCATCGTAAAATATCGGCTTAATGCTGCTGTGCGGGGAATCCCATCATTGTCTTCAGAGAGAACTACGCATTTGCATTTTGATTCTTAATTGACGATAGATGTAGATGTCTATGTACTACAATATCCACTTACCATCAGGTGAACCGTGTTCTAGTTATCACACACTTATTGTTTAAAAAAAATGTGTATTTTTAAGTGTGAGTAAGACAGGACAAGACAGTTCTTTCTTCATCATCATCTTTACAGCCTTTCATAAGTCCACTGCTGAACATAGGCCTCCCCCAAGGAATGCCACAAAGCACGGTCCTTAGCCACCTGCATCCATCGACTTCCTGCATGTCTTACCAGGTCGTCACTCCATATCGTGGGGGGTCGCCCTACACTTCGCCTACCGGTACGAGGCTGCCACTCAAGAACCTTTCTTCCCCATCAGTTGTCGGTTCTTCGAGCTATATGGCCGGCCCACTGCCACTTCAGCTTACTAATCCGTTGGGCTATGTCAGTTACTCTGGTTCTACTGCGGATATCCTCATTTCTAAGTTTATCACGCAGAGAAACTCCGAGCATAGCCCTCTCCATAGCTCGCTGAGCGACCTTGAGCTTCCTCATACGGCCAGCAGTGAAGGACCACGTCTCAGATCCGTAAGTCATCACTGGCAACACGCACTGGTTGTACAATTTCGTTTTAAGGTTTTGAGGAATGTCTGACGAGAAGTTAAGTAAGTAAGTAAGTTAAGTTCTTTCTTAGGTTGTTTCAATAAATATATTTATAAATAATCCTGAAAAGTTCACTTCCAGTCATGAACCTCTCCCGTTTACGTGAGGGAAGTGCACCATAATCTATCTATTTATTACTATAATACAACTCTAACACGACGACTGTCTGAACACGCATTACACAAAAACCTGTCAATGGATTTGGATAGGACATTCGCTGGCAGATAGCTGATGTTATAAGGAGTAACTTAGGCTACTTTTATTTTAGGAAATACTTTTCCGCGCAAAAAAATTAAAACCCATGAAATTCATAAACATGCGGGCGAAGTCACGGGAAAAGCTAGTATGTAATATGTAATGTCCATAGTATTACACACCAATATAAATTAAATATACTCTGTGATGGCGGCGTAAGATGACTCTGCACCCCTTTTTGTACCGTGCTAGTCGTATGTAATGGGCGACTATTGGAAATGCCAGAAGGCTCTAATGACTTTCAACAGATGGCGAAGACGGATTTTTTAAAATTTTTATAAATAATTATGTAGTTATAGTTCCTTAATACTAATAAAACATGTACCGAATTTCGGTCACGGTGACCGGTCTTAACAGAACTACTCAGGACAAAATGTTATTGTGTCTGCGCAGCGAAGCACAGGTACACTTTCTATTCCCTCACTCTCATAGTCCGATAGGACAACAATACGATAAGACCGGAGAGAGATCAGGTGCAGGAACAAAAGCTTCGCGTGATTTCCCAGGCATGCAAGAAAAACACTTTCTGACTCCGGACTGCTACTGAGATGTTCAAAATACACCATAACTGATTTTAGTTCCGACCCATAATTCGAAACCGTGACCCCATGATCGGAAATCGTTTAGGACGACTAGACCAGTCAACGATATTATAGTCAAAATAAATAAGAAATAATAATAATTGAAAAATAGTAATTGTAAAATAATAATCGCAAAACGATAGTTTTAAATTTCGAGAATAGATGTAGACTAGTAGAACACTTCCAATCAGGTAGACTGTACGCTCGATTGACACCCTTGCTTGCTTACATAAAATATAACGCGAGCGCCTGACCACTGAGTTACGGCAAACATCTTTTTAGAAACGTTTGCTATTTTTATTGGAATAAAGTGGGATTTCCTCTTCTTGATAGATATAACCCATAACGTGGACATTCCAGTAGAAACAGTGTAAATACTGACATAAACTATCGGATTTTTAAGCTGTCGTGTCAATGCGTCAAACTTAGAGCTCCAAGAACCGATAACCTATAGGGACAAGCGCAGTATATATAGCGGTCTCATCAACACAACGTGTCCATGGAATTAGCACAGGAACGTTCTTAATGCCAATATATTTTTTTCATTTTTCAACGGCGCACTTGCAATAACCTGCACCGATAATGATTACGAGTATATTGGGTCAGTACATCAAAAATAAACATTGCCAACATTGCTAACCAAACAGCAACTGCATGTGGCAGATTTAAGTACTAACGTTCATTAGACAATTACGGATAAATAGCAAACTTAACAATGGTAACAGCTGCCGCATTTTACGATAGTATAGTAACGTGGTAACGTACCTAGTTGTACATTTATATATATATATATATATATATATATATATATATATATATATATATATATATATATTTCTAATAAACTTATTATACTAGACATATAGTGATTGCACGACATTTTGTGAATTATTTTCTAGTGCCCTCACTGAGGATTATTGTATTTTTATAATATGTTAAACTTATCTAATTTACTTCTTTTGGCCAGAACGAAAAGAAATATATTTGTCAGTTTTAAGATGTCCTTAAGTCCCGTGGTCACTTTGACTTAAAGTGAGACTTAACGACATCTTAAAATTGAGTAGAGTTTGAGTTTTTGGGCAACACTGGTAGAATACACAATAGGTACTGTGAATTTAAATTTATTTAAATTAATTAAATTAAAAGAATAACTACCACGTAAGTCAATGTATTCACAAATAAATAAATGAATTTGAATAATGACCTTGAGTCTTCACGATTATTTTATTACCACAACAGTTGGAATAGTTACCTGAACGTCGTAATTACTGGCGGTAACCTGGCACTGCCATTGTCCGTCGTCGAGCTGGAGTGTGGCCGCGCGCACCCACAGCGAGCAGTCGCCACCCATGGCACTGTGCTCGTTAGCCCATTCATACTTGCCACGGTATATGCCGACCGGCTGAAAAATAACGAAGCAGTTATAAAATATTCAATAAGTTTACTTAATCAATTAACGGTGCGGGCAAAATAGTTTGCAAATGATCACCATCATTAGAATTAATTAATACGAATGGGCGATAAGGAATTTAAAAAAAAAACGTCACGAAAACGTGGAGGCAGTTTACATACATAAATAGTACAGGGACAAATATCCAGGACCCGGAACAATTTTTTGTGTGCCATGTAAATATCCTATTAAGTGCGGTAATTGAATCCGCAGCCTTTACCTCAAAGCCAAGACACTGCACCACGTACCGTCATTACCAATTAGCGTTACGATGCGTTTATGAATGATGCATGTATAGTAGTTAGTATTAGCTAAGTATTTAGTAACATATACCACTTATGTATGTAAATTCTTGAATTTTTTTTTTATATAGGATCGGGTGACAAACGAGCACACAGTCCACCTGATGGTAAGAGGTTACTGTGACTCATAGACATCTACATCTATCCTCAATAAAGACTCAAGATGCAGATGCGTTGTCACCCGTGAGGACTAAGATGAAATGCCTCTTTGCCAGTAAAAAGGGTCTCCGGTTCTCTACACTCACCATACGAAACACAGCAGCGTTAAGCTGCTATTTTACGCTGGTTTTCTGTGAGAGCGTGGTCCTTCCCCGTTCGAGCCGACCCATTCGTGCTACAACCATAATATAACTGCAGCATAGCTCTACCACGTAAAAAATGAATTACTAAAGATATTATTGGAGAACTTATTCTAGATATTACCTACACTAAAACCAAAAGTAAAAGTTTTGTATGCGGAACATGCATAATAAGGTTGTACCGCGCATGATTTGGGTCGACCGGGAAACGACCTAAGCAATATAATTTATAAACACAGCACAGCAGCATAATACTGAGCTTCGTTTGTACGAAGTACAGCATTATATGCTGCACGAGCACACAGTCCACGTAATAGTAAGAGGATAATATGGCCCATAGACATCTACTTCTATCCTCAATCAAAGAGCGTTGTCACCCTTAAAGACTAAGATATAATGCCTCGTTTCCAGTAGAAAAAGTCTCCGGTTCTCTAAACTCCACATACGAAATACAGAAGCCTTATGCAACTGTTTTACGCCGGTAATCTTTAAAATTGTGATCCCCTTCTTGTCGAGCCGAACTATTGTCTTTATAGCGGAGTGTTAATGATCCACATCAGCTGTGTTCTATATTTTATGGTGAATAAAGATATAGCTGACGTATCAGACGATGTCATAAATGTGCCGAGAAGTATGCACCGGTGAAGTGCTGTGACCGGGCGGGTCATCAAGAGGCAATTACATCAAATTTGATAGACTATAGACAGATTCTTGTGAAAGAAAACGTATTCCTACGTACTGGCTACTTAGAGGCGACTGAAATGAAAAAATATCTTGACTTCAATAGACATAACGACAGGCGCTACCGCCTGTTTGGGATCTTGTTATTATTAATATTAAATCTAAACCCAAATTTAGCGCTGTAAGATTTCAGAATACAGTAGTAACCTCATTTTGCGTAGATCGTATGACAATTAACAATTAAAAGCTAAAGGTAATCTGGACTTACTATGGCATCAGGTGACAGAAGCGCAACAAAAACGAAAAAACTATTATGTAACGTCTTATTAAAACTATGAAACCACCACTAAGGACCCATAAGAGAACTGACAGAAAAGCCCCCGTCAGTCAAACAGCAGGGAGTACAACCGAAAGCGGTCATAAGTAATACGTTATTAAAACTTGTAGTGCCATTCACGAGGCCAAATCCCTAATGATCCAGTTCTTTGTCATACTGTAATGAATATGCATCGTAAATGGTAGCTGCGCGCCGGAATTCTAATAAGTATTTTAGTATAAAGACATTTCAATACAACAGAGAGTTGAATAGACTCAATAGACAATGCAAATTGAAAGAAACAGGAAGCTAGCTCAAGGCATGTGAACGAAGGGTTTGTTTAAACAGGCGTGTTGAATAAAACACCCTTTAATAGTAGTGTATTGTTTAGGGTTATTAGTGAATGTATGGATGGCGATTAGAAAACGATAACCCGTCATCTGTAATAAATATAGTAACGTGAAGGGAAATTTTTGTTCCCCATTTTTAAATATATTACGCGCAGTGTAAAGCATTGTTGTAAATTCTAAATTAAAGCAATAAAAAGTGCAGAAAGCTAAAAGTTATAATATATATTGTTTACGTTAATACTACCGTCAATAGTCAATCACAATAGTCAATGATGAAACAGTTGCACAGAGTAGAGATGTCGCCAATGAATTTTAAAATGTGCCAACATTAGAGTTGATGAGTTGAGAATTTTGTGTAATTTCTAATGTTCTTTTTTCAATGGTCAAATGTGGAGTGTATGCAAAGAAAAAAAAGGGTTCATTTTATACTTTGTTTTTTTGAAATTTGAATGTGAAATACAGCTTGCTTAGTATACAAACTTAAGAATTTAATGTATTGCGGTCAAATTTCGACTACTGGGCGACTACTAGTTAAATTTATTAGGTATAAAGCCGTAACACGATAGCTTAGCCGACAGGCGCTCAGCGAACAATACGAACCGATACCCGTCGGCAACATTCACTGAAAATGATAATCCTAATTGTAGATTCTAAATTAAAACAAATAGCACGGTTGCGGAGCAGGAATTTTATTATTGCTTTGCATTTTTAAACTTAATTCCCATAGTAAAAAGTTTTATTTTTAATGCAACTAGATAGTTTTAGGACCTTTTGAACAGTATTTGTGATTCGAGTTTATTTTCAAGGCATTAAAGTTCACATTTGTATGAATTGCAATAATTTGAAATTATTCCTGCTCCGCAATCACGCCATAAAAGTTACAGCCTATATACGTCCCGCTGCTGGGCACAGGTCTCCTCTCATTTCTGTGAGGGTTTTAGGAAATATCCGCCGCGCTCATCGATCACTAATAATAGTGATCGATGGCCACGCTGCCCCAATGCGTGTTTGGCGAACTTCACATGTCTTCGTTTTTTTTTTTCTTATTTCTCAGACATGCAGGTTTCCTCACGATGTTTTCCTTCACCGGCGAGCACGTGTTAAATCAACACTTAAAATTGCAACTAACAATTTCATTGGGGCCGGCGGGGACCGAACCCGGGTTGCTGGTGTACTATATGTGCTACCATGGCTCTCTGATGAAAACGAATTGTCTAGGAAATTTACAATATTTCGTGAACATATTAAATTCGGCGAAGTAAGAGAATGCACCACCTCAGATCATCTAATAGGTGTCGCAGGGGGCGGCAGAAAAAAAGAAACAGGCAATGGGCAATGATGATATCAGAAAAGCATCTAACAAATACTCCTTTAAAAAGAAGGTACGCGAGCATTTACTGAATAATCATTAGAATTTACAAAATTGTTAATTAATCGTATTTATATGTATGTATTATCTTTGTATTTATGTATGTTTATATCTGTTTATTGGCATATAAATATATTATGAATATGTGTTAATATATGTATATGTGCGAATATATGTAAATGCAGCTTGAGTTTTAACAACACGAGCGTATAAAGAATTATTGTGATGTGCAAAACAGATAAAACAAAATAGACGCTGCTTTGTCAGGGGCGTTCTTTGAGGCAATCAATGTTCTTTGTATTTGTAGTTGAGACATTTCTTATTTTTATTTTTAAGAGAAAAGTGTAGCTTTCAAGATTTTGTGATTAGGATAAGGAAGTGGTGTTTCGGTGGTTTGGACAGAGCAAATTTGTGCTGCAGATATAGGTGGCGATGGAGTCGATAAGGGAGGCCCTAGACGATAGTTTATTGACCAAATTGAATATTGTTGCTGGATTGATTGGATGTATTGATGATGAGTTAAATTAAGAGTACCTTTAACCGAGAAGTATGTATGTGTAGGTATATGAATGTTAAATAAGCGATAGAAATGTGTCAGGATCGTGTTTAATCGAACTCGCGGCTTGTAGCGCCACAACAAATCGCTTAGCCACTGCACTACCGAGGTGTCAAATACTGAGTCTTTATTTGATACTAGCTGTCCCTCGTGACTTTGCCCGTGGAATTTGTTACAATTTGATTTCATGGGTTTTAAGTTTTTTTTTTTTGTACGGAAACCTAATTCTTTAACTAAAACAAAAATAGCATACGTTACTCCTTATAACATCAGCTATCTGCCAGTGAAAATCCCGTCAAAATCGGTCCAGCTGTTTCGGAGATTAGCCGGAACGAACAGATAGACAGACAGACAGACAAGAATTTTAAAAATTGTTGTGTTTTTGTTATAAGTACCGTAAATAACTTCATATGCATTTAGTAAAAAGCTGTTATTTTGAAATTACAAACAGACAGTATGAAAAACAAAGATGATGAGAAGATGTTGCTTTAGTATTGAACATTTTATACATAAGATGTATTACGAATTTTTAATAGGTACTCACGTCACGATCGATCTTCAACTAGCAGCGTAAATCTTTAGTTCAAATATTTAATATCAAAACGAAATTTTAAACATGGTAGAGCCATGTGTAGTCAGTTGTAGCACGAATGGGTCGACTCGATCGAGGAAGGACCACGCTCTCACAGTACCAGCGTAAAATAGCAGCTCAATGCTGCTGTGTTTCGTATGGTGAGTGTACGTAATCGGAGACCCTTTTTACTGGAAAAGAGGCATTCCATCTTAGTCCTCACGGCCGACAACGCATAGTTTTGATTCGCAAACGAGGATAGATGTAGATGTCTATAAACCACAGCAACAACTTACCATCAGGGAACTGTGTGTTCGCTTGTCACCCTTATCTTTTTTATTTATTTTATTTTATTCGAATGGTTTACTAACAGTCAACTAACACAATACAATCTTAAATAACAGAAAAGTTTCTTAAGCTAAGTGTAGTGACCACTTACTAGTAAACACAGCATGCAATATAACAATAACTTAAGTGGGTTATGATTTTAATAACAATAACTTAAGTG